GTGACTCGACGGCACATAACAACAACAACATTGTTCTTAGGTGTCACTGCGTCATCTACAACTTAGTGACACTAAAAGCAACCTATCTGAACACTGTTTACCCCACACTGTCCTCACGATCTGACATGCCTGAGCCCACTCTTATAGTCCTTGTGTTAGTCCATCTTGTTAAGGGTCTTCCTCTGATCCCCCACTTTTCGCAGCATGATGCCTTTTCCCAAGGACTGACTCGGACAGCATGCCCACAGTACATGAAAAGTTTCACCATCCTTGCTTCTAAGGAGCACCCTGGTTTCACTGCCTTCAAGACGGATTTGTTTGTTCCTTTGGCAATCCATGGAATATTCATTCCTCTTCTTCAACACACAATTCAAAGGCATTCATTCTTCTTGTCTTCCATATTCCCAGTTCAATTTTCAGATGCATAGGAAGTAACTGAAAGGCCTGACTTAGATAGGTACACTTTAGCTTTAAACCTGACATCGTTGGGTTTTGGTTGTTTTTTGGTGTGTGTGTGTGTTCTGTCAAATCAGATCTGACAGCACAGGAGGAGATTGCCCCTCCTTCTGGTGGATTCAAACTGCGTACCTCTGGGAATGCAGTGCAGCTTCTTGCTGCTAGGCCACCAGAGCGCCCTTAAACCTGACATTGTTACTCTTTAGCACTTTAGAAGTCCTTGACACCAGATTTTCCCAGTGCAACATGTCTTGATTTTTTGACTGCTGGCACTGTGTTGTGAATCCAAGTAACAGGAAATCATTGACAACTCCAATCTTTTCTCCATTCATGATGTTGCCTATTGACCCAGTGGTGAGCATTTTTGTTTTCTTGATGTTGAGTTATATAATCCAGATTGAAGGCTGTAGTCTTTAATCTTTTGCACCAAGTGCTTTAAGTCCTCTTCAGCTTCTGCAAAGTAAACTAGTAGAGACTGGAAAGGCTTTAAGGTGCCTAATGGGAGCCCTGGAGGCTTAGTGGTAAGAAATTTTACTGCCAGCCCAAAGGAAAGAGGTACGAATCCACCAGCTGCTCCATAGGAGAAAGATGGGCAATCTCCTCTCATAAAATTTACTGCTTCTGAAAACCCCCTGGAGGGTCTGCTATAGTTCTGACTTGATAGTACACAATGACCATATTAGTAATAGGGACCTCTGGTGGACTAGTGTGTAAGGAAATAATGCTGCCAACCCAAAGCTGGCAGTTCAAATCCACCAGCTACTGCAAGAGAAAGATGGACAACTTAATCTCATATTATTTACAACTTCTGAAAACCCACTAGAGTTATCAGTTATGAGTCAGTTCCAACTTGATGGCACCTAACAATAAAAGCCTAGATTGTCTTGTGGAGAATTATAGTCCAGAATTACGGACCTCAAACCCAAGTCTAGTCAGAGCGCAGAATGAGCTGCAGAGAGTGTGTCCTCTCAGAGAACGCGTAAGGTGCCCACAACAGGACGTTGGTAGAAATGTGCACGAAAACATGCTACTGCTGAGGCATGAAGAGAAAATGGACCTGTGACAGCTTTGTACTTCTGTAGGTTCTCATTGTGGGAGAGGAATGTTTATTTAGGGTATCATCTGTCTGTTTCATCATTGTGTGATGGTGGGGGGTTGTGGTCAGCTAAAGTCATGTTTTTACACTTACAGATCAAGAAATACTGCGTGAGATGGAAGGGTGACCATGAGATGAACTTTTTCATGCTATGACTAGATGACTAGATGAGACTTCTGAAGTGACTTCCTTGAGATTTATTTTACGTATAGTAGAAAAAACCAAACCAAACACAAAAAACCAACCTACTGCATTCGAGCTGAGTGGTCCTCCTAGCGACCTTCCCGAGGTTTCTGAGGCCGTGAATCTCCACGGGAGGAGGCTGCCCATCTTTGTCTTGTAGAGCACCTGGTGGATTGAAACCACTGACCTTCGAGTTGACAGTCGAACACAGCAGCGCTCCTTTGAGCTGGAGTCTGGAATAGGCGCAGCTGTCCACGAGCAGGAGGTCAGGGCTGTTTCCAGTCCACTTTCTCTACTGTCAGAACATTATACATCTTCACACTTGCCACCCCACGGGAGAGGACACTTCTCTGGTCCAATGTGAGCTTTGTCCATGTGAACTGCCTTTGACCAACAGTACATGAGCCACTGTGAGTTAGCCACAGGCAAGCAGATGCTTTTAGTGTGGCTGCACGGTTCTGGTGCACTTTCTTGCTCCTGTCCTTCACTATGAGAACAGCACGCCCGTGTGGGCTATTCTGTCAGCCCCTTGCGAGAGTAAGGAGGCCTATGGGAGGGGGCCAGGCCAGTAGGCCCAGCCGAGCAGAACCATGGCTGACTCCAACCCATGGACGAGAGATGTCTGTTAGAAGTCACAGAGATGCTGGAGCTGTTCAAAGACCAAATGACTAACTCCAGTTCATTTTGCTTTTTATTAAAGTGCTTCAGTGGACAAACAGTGTTAACCACAATCAACACAAATGGTACTGAAATATTCACACAAAAAAATTCTCAACACTCGAAATCAAGCAAATGTTCTTCCCTGTGACAACAGTGATTTCCTTCAAAGAGTGAGTAATCCTAAATTCAGAGGGATTTACTCTAACCACAAAGTGGGTTCTCAAAATGGGATATTCAACCAATCACTTCAGCATCTGGGGCCGGCTGCCAATCCCTGATTGCTAGTCCCAGCACTTAACCTTTGGTGCCTCACTCTCTCCAGCTGCACTGAGAACTAGTCTTCCCTTACAGAAGAGTTAGAAATGATCAAGTGTGAAATACTAAAGCTTAGCTAGCATACACCTGTGACTCAGACAACATTCACGTGTGGCCCTTTAAAAACAACTTATTTGTTCTTGACACACATTAAAATACTATGCAGCCTTAAAAGGAATAGATTAGTCATTGTTGGTTCCTTGCAAATTGCCTTTTCACTCAACTCACATTAAAATCACACTAGTCTTTCTCTTGGGCTTGGATCAGGCGGCAGCCCGGTTCTATCACTCAGCCATGGCCCAAATCAAGGCGGCAAGAAGGAAGAGCTGTTAAAACAGCTGGACGATCTGAAGGTGGAGCTTTCCCAGCTGCGCGTCGCCAAAGTGACAGGCGGTGTGGCCTCTAAGCTCTCCAAAATCCGAGTGGTCCGAAAATCGATTGCCCGTGTTCTCACTGTTATTAACCAGACTCAGAAGAAACTCAGAAAATACTATAAGGGCAAGAAGTACAAACCCCTGGATCTGCGGCCCAAGAAGACACATGCCATGCGCAGAAGGCTCAACAAGCATGAGGAGAACCTGAAGACCAAGAAGCAGCAGCGAAAAGAGCGCCTGTACCCACTGCGGAAATATGCACTCAAGGCCTGAACTTCTTAAATAAATAAAACACAAAACTAAAAAAAATCACACTAGTCGGACCCTAGATTAAAATTCACATCATGATATGCTCAGTAAATTATTTTGACTGCAGTGAGGACTGGGGTCCTACCCAGGTAAAATTTACAAATTATTTTAAGAATCTTATTTTCACATAATTATATTCTTTGAGACCTTTTCATTAACACAGAAATCCTGCTACCTAAGTAACAGTACACCCCAGTACCACTAATTAAAGTGTTGGTGTACTTCCTCAGACAGCGTAACCCCATCATGACTTCTAGATGACAGTGACTGGGGCAAAGGACAAGGGAGCGAACAGCCCTCCTGGCCTAGTTAAAGTGGCCTGATGCCTTCACGGAGTTTCTGTAGTGTCGATGGTGGTGAGCACATTTAAAGCAAAAGGTCTGAGCGCTAAAAGGACATGATTATGCAGGCAGAAGAGAAAGACAGTGAACCTGGCTGAATCAGAACCTTTGTCAAACCCTTGTTTCTGTTAGGAAGTAGTGGCTCTGTGGTAACAGAAGTGTAGAAGTTGGTACATCAACTCTCCTATTTTCAAAGCATATGCAGTACTTTTAGGCAGCAACAATATTGCTAAATCTCCACAGGACACTTTGAAACTGCTTGCAGTAAAAAGGGAGAGAAAGAAATCATTCATCAATCTGGAGAAGAAAAATGTGAGTTGTGATGTTCTTGCTGTTCTATTCAATTAACAAATAAATCGATCAGGAGCACAAATGGACACAACCATTTCAATAAAGCGAGCCTCCTGTAGTTAACTTGTCATTTGGAAAATGAAATGAGTGAAAAGGATCATTTTCTGCAGCGTGCTCACCCATTTTAAGGCTGCTGCAGTTTCAGAAACACGGAACACCCTGGAGAAGGCCCCACTGTTTCCCATTGGTGCCTGTCTTTAAAAATGGCAGAGGACTCCATGCCCCACCGAGTACATAGGGACATAATTTTCACATTGAACACAGACTGGCTTAGGGAACAAAGAAAAAGCACTCTATACAATGTGCCTTACTGTAACATGCAGCATTCAGGAAGCAGAAACTCATTATCCTTCACAAAGAAGGCGCAGGTGCCCTAACATCATCTTAGAGCTGATGGTCTTAAGAGTGTGCTCGGGGCATTTTTGTCCAAATTTAAAATAAAGGATTTAAAAGTTGGTTTTGCCAAACCTCTGGTAAGTCCTTGGAATCCTGGTTGAGTTTGAAGGATGCCTTTCTCTTACGACCTTCACCTGTCAGGCCTTGTGATGAACCCCAGGAGTCAAATGTCATGACACCCTCTCACTGCAGCCAGCAAAGGCCTGGTTCTGGGCAAGACTGAAGCAGGAAGAGGTTCCCACAGAGAGCCATGGCTGATCCACCAGCTTCCCAAGGCCAAGGGCACTCTAATGACCCAGGGCTGGTACATGGATTTGTTGTGACACAGGATCCTACCCTAGCACCACCTCCAGGCACAACAGCCACTAGGCTGTCTCTGGACTTCACTGGAGGTCCGTGGGCTGGACCAGCTCTCCCAGGATGAGCTGTTCTAGAGACTAAAATGAAATCTGAATAGGAGGGGAGGCAGAGCACTGATATCGGAGCCACCTTAGTAGAGCTTCAGTGACAGGGGCCTGCTCAGTGATTCTGCAGCAGCTCCTCCCAACAGATGGGCTGGGAAAACACCTCTCTCTCAAGCCAGAGCTCATACGAATAGTGGAAATCCTCAGGCAGATCCAGCCTCTGGCCCAGGACACTCTGCAAGCAGTTATCCACAGGGGAGAACTCCGAGTCCTGGGGTCTGTCGTATCGGCGGCTGTTAAAGGCCTCGATGTTGGCCCTCAGCGTGCATTCTTCTGCTTGGAAGTCCCATGGCCTGGCATCGATGTCTGTATTGGGAAGAAAGGGAGAAAAAGCAGCGTATAATGCAGGCAGGACACCGCCCCTCACCACAGAAGGTGGGACTCTAACAATGGCACGGTCTGAATTCTCTTTCCTGTAAAGAGCAGTGTGCAAAGCAGGTATGGTGCACAGCATACTGCTACTTAGGTTCACGTTCTCTCTCTCTCCCCCCCTCCCCCTCTTCCTCTCATATAAACCTAGGCTTTGAAGGGCAGTCTGGAAACTGCTAACAGTGCTTAACTCTGAGGAAAGAAACTAGGGGAGGTCAGCTGCTTTTATTGATTGTATTTTTCACTATTTCATATTCTTACTAGTTCTATATGTCCTTTTCCATAAGGACAATGCAATTCTCTTAACTGCTCTTTTCCTAAAACATGGCAGTTTTCCACATGACTGGAATCATCAGGTCCCAAGCACTGAGAAGCCAAAGTGGGGGGAGGGTCACAAGGAGGAGGACCTGGACAATTACGGAAGGCTTCTGATGGCCTGGAGTCCCTCCCAGCAAATGGCACATCGACTTGACAGGCTGGGTCAAGACTACGAGCTGGGGGCGTCCATAAAGGCAGCAACAGAAAGCAGGATTTGTTCTGCTTTCATTCCTTCCACCGGGCACTATTTCAGGGCTGAGGTTTGTATTTCCCAGGCCACACACCCGACACCGGATGGTCTTCTGGAAGGAAGTGCAGTTCGGGCTGGGGCTCATCTTGGCAGCAGTGATGATGTATCATAGCGTAAAACATTTCTAATGTTTTAAATATTTATAAGACTTTAAGTAGCTGGTTGTGCCTGACAGCATAAAGTAGAAGCTGCATCCTTGTTCCATTTCAATCATCTGCTTCTTTTCATTCTGTGAACTCCACTTTGGCATCCTCTGAAGTCTAAGTCGGCTGCGAATCCCACCACAGACAAGTCCTTTGTCATCTCACGAAGCCTTCAATCTCATCGTACAAATAATGATCAAACTTCACAATCCAGCAGGTAATACAATGAAAATACTCTCCAAAATAAAGTTTGCCAAACTCTCACTCAACGGTTTGTTTACTTCAAGCACGTGAGTATCACCACATGATTCAGAGGGATTAGGGCTAATGGGCAGTCTTAGCATTAAGTCTGAGTAGGTGAACTGTATAGCACATAGTATGAGACAGACAATTCCCAGCACCCAAATTCACCGAGAATTTACTAGAGACAAAGTGCACCGCACTTTTAGGCTTTGCTTCTGGTTTCTAGGAAACATCAGAAACAGAGGAACACAAGCAGCAAGGAGACAGATCCAGATGTCAGATGTAAGCTGCTGTGCAGGGCCACTGGCCTCCCTGCCAGGTGGTCCAGTGCCAGGGGACAAATGACCCTATGCTTCATTCAAAATAAAGAAACCAACCACCACATGAACTACGTGGTCCTAGACTGGATTCTTATTTAGGAAAAATAGCTTTTAGGAGCATTTTGGAACAACTGGAGAATTCTGACCAGGAGCCCTGGTGGCAGAGCAGGTTAAGAGAAGGGCTGCTAACGGAAAGGCTGGCAGTTTGAACCCACCAGCTGCTCTGAGTGGGGGAGACGACGTGGTCTCTTCTTGAGACTTACAGCCTTGGAAAGTCAGTGGAGGGTCGCTGTGAGTCAGAACTGAGTCAACAGTAGTGGGTTTCGGTTTGGGGAAGTTGGAGTGTAAATTTGGTTTATCAGGTCAAATAAAAATGTACTGGCCTGAAATGTGAGATGTAGCTCATTAACTGAGAAGAGATTATGACATGTGCAACTTGCATTATTTTAGTAAAATATGCACATATGTGTGTGTAGGAAAAAAGATCTGGAGGAATAAAAAACAAGATGTTAATAATGGCAATCTCTGTTGTTGTTGTTGCCATCGAGTTGGAACCAACCCACAGATGACCTTCTGGTGGGTTTTCAGAAGTAGTTAATCGCATGGGAGGAGACTGCCCATCCTTCTCCCTCAGAGAACCCGGCAGATTTGAATCCCATTCCTTTAGGATTGCAGTGCAGCTTCTTGCCACTAGGCCACCAACCTCTGGGTGGGACAAAAATGGCATAAATATAGTAATATATTAAAAATTTGGGGCATATGTAGTCACTAACTATTTTTGAAATAAAGTTATTTGAATTGTAGAAGTTTGAGGGTTTTTTTAAAAAAATTATTTATTTATTTATTTTATGTGTGTACCATCAAATCGGATCCGACTGGCACAGGAGGCGATTGTTCCTCCTTCCTCAGCAGAGCATCTGTTGGATTTGAACCGCGCACCTCTGGGATTGCAGTGCAGCCTCCCGCCACCAGGCCATCAGAGCTCGCCAAATTGTAGAAGTTTTTAGGAAAATCTTGTCATTTAAAGAAATGTTTTTGGAAAGGGAGTGATTATTTATTACTTGTTTAGGAAATTTCCATCATTTATGTACAGCAAGGTACATGGCTGGACTTTGGGACAGTGTCTGTTACAGCATCACGTGACGTACAGTCTCGCCTGTTTTCTCGCCTACAGGACGTAAAGCCCCCTGCCCAGAGTGGAGAGCCTTTCGGTGGCTGTGTGGCTGCGAGTCACGCCAGGTCAGCCCGTGGGCAGTATCCCAGTACTCACCGTTCCCATAGGCCCAGTCGTCATTCATGCGGTGCCGCACTTTCTGGTAAATGGCAGACATGGTTTTCATGTTGCTCTTCCTCCACTGGCGGCCCAGGTACTTGGTCTGTATCTTGAGCAGCTTCAGGACATAAAGTTGCAGCATGGCCTGCTTGACCTTGAGGGCCCGTTTTAAGATTGGAGCAGATTTAAACACCACCAGCATCTGCCCACGGAAAGGGGTGGGGCGGAGAAAAAGACAGAGAAGGATCGCAAGCTTCTTGGAATTTCCAGCTCATGGGCAAATTATGCCAGAGGTTGCCAAGCCTGGTGGCTGCAAAGTGCCCTGGGGAGCTGGGGGGGGAAGCTCTGGTCAGGGCTCCACTTAGATTTAGTCTTCAGGAACAAAGAGGAACTATTTCCATTTCACAACTCAAAAGTTTCCAATATTCAAAGTATATGGCTTGTAAAGTGCAAACAAAATACTACTAGGCACATGTGCCCTTTCTACTTTTATTACTTTCTTATGTCTCATGCATAGTCTATGCATATATTACTTTTTAACATAAATGATAACTATGTATCCTGATAACTTGTTCTATACCCTTTTTTAAAAAAAAAATTCTAATTATTTTGTTGTTGCTGAGAATGAACAAAGCAAACACAACAGTTCCAGTTTCTACCTGTCCAGTCCAGTCACACAGGCTGTTTTCAGACGTGCAAGCATTCACCTCTGCTTCTCTCCAGTTGTTCCGCCCTCATCAATATACACTCACTGCCCCTCAGCTAAACTTTCTAGTTGTTATTGTCAATTTGACATCTCACATCTTGCTTCTCATTTAATATCTTGAAAATTATCCCAAAGCTGCATAGACCTGCTGCCTTCTTTTAAATGCTCATATAATTTTCCATGCACAGACCATAATTCATCTAACCACTCAGGTCTGTGCAAATGGGCATTTAGGTGGTTTCCAATCTTTCGTTATTTCAAACAATGCGGCAATGAATACCGGTGGACTTGCATCACATGGGATGCATGCAATTCAAATAACCATCATGCTGACTGCCCGCACAAGCGAAGCCCTGAGGGAGCGTCCATACTCAGATCTGAAAGGAAATGAACAGGTGAGTGAGGGCCTCATTAGAACGAGTGTTAGGAGTTAGGAAATGCTCAATTTTATGAGGCTGTTAATGTCTGGCTGTAGAGCTCACAAAGCCGGAAGCCCGTAAATCAGTCCAGTCAGGTGGACACCATCATTAGCTCAGGCCCCACTCACCATGGTCCTAGAGTGCTTCCACTTGGTCAGTTTATTGAGTAGCCTCAGAAGGTTGATGCAGGAAAAGAGGTTCCTCCAGCAGAACTGGTTATTGTCTCCGGCCTCCTGTAATGAGGCACACACATTGTGACCTGAGCACCTGAGGCTTCTGTCCCCAGAGAATTCACCACAGGTCGGTGGAGGGAGGCCTCCCACTGTGAACTCTGCCCCTCGCATCCTGCCCTCCACACACTCTGAGGACCCGGAGCACAACAGTCTTCATCTGAAAGTGCTCCGTGGCCAATCCTGGAAGACTGGACAAGAGCAGTGCTGGTTAGAAAGAGGACACGTCAACTCTGGGACTTGGTTCAAGCAAGTGTTCTTTAGTAGCTGTCTGCTTTAGGAACAGAAGAGAGTGGGCAGACTTCCAGCTCATACACTGCATTTGCACAAGCGAGGTACTGCTACAAGTTAGGTCTCGTGCTGGTGTGTTTCCAGCCGTGGTGGGGATCTGATGGCCATTGTGGCTGGGCTCCTTATCAACCCAGCCTCCTACATCAATCCCTATCACAGTTACTTCTCCAGCAAGGGTGGAAAAATGGCAGATGGTTCATTCTGACCAGGTGCTTTCAATAGCTTGTGAACAAGCACCCAACCAGAGATCACAGATGGATGTCAGATTAGAAACTCACAGAAACCATTTCCTTGGACAAAAATAAGAGCTAGATGCTGGTGTTGGAAGCTGTTTAAATCAAGGAGCACACAAGATAGCCAAACTCCTGTCTTGGAAATTCCTCACATCTCCAATGTGCTTAAGTAAGGCCTGCTGGCTGGTGATGAAAACATCCCCTCTTCTCCCTAAAATAATTTGAAGCTGGCAAGTTATGCATATTTCTGATGGGAGATGGACACCCAAAACTTGTGAGAGCATCAAACTCTTCTAAACAAAACCTAACAATAAGGGTCAAAATATTTCAGGGGAAACTTTTTAGAACTATTTCCTTCTTGTAGCAAATGATAGGTATTATGTTTAGAACTAGTCCCAGGGCAGCCATCTGTCTGCTTCTGGGGGAAACTTCCATGGAAACTCCCATGCAAGCCAGTGCATCAGCTGGTCTGGCTTGCTCCACCCGACCAGGCTCTGTAATGTTTTTATCTTGTGGGATTACGAAAAGACAGACTTTTAAGTATTTTTTTAAAGGAATCAGGGAGACACAAATGGGATGGGTATTTCCATTGTACATGTTCTTCAGTCCAGCTTCTGACATGACAACACCATAAAATGCCTGCACCTAAGAATAACATGACTAGAGATGGAACCTTCTGGAAACAGCACCAGGGCACCTGGATGGTGGCACTGGTCCTGGCTGAGTGGTCCTCGGTATGTAATTTCTTTTTCCTGTAAGGGACTAAATTAGGTAATACTTAAAACCCCTTCAGCTCTGGGTGTTCTATTATTCTATAGTTCACCTGGACTGCTTCCAGCTGGCTGAAAGTGAAGCTGTAAGTTAGCACAGGCTGACTGGGTTGTCCTCAGAGCCTCGGGAAAGCACCCCAGCACCCGCCCTGAACTCAGCCTCACCCATCAGGGCAGCTCTTGCTCTCTCCTGACCACGTGCTGGCAGATGCTGCCTGGGGCGGGCATGGAGGCATGCAGGCTGGACGGTGGCTCCCGGAGAGCTGAGCCCAGATGTGTCCAGTCTCCAGCTCAATAGATGATCATTTCCTCAACAGGCCACAGGTGTCTCTGCACATCTGCCAGAATTAAGGGCTGTTTATTCCCATTTAAGGCAGGTCAGCCCGTCTCTATTTTTCGGCAGGATTCAGGACACTGAATGAGATGGGCCTCTGAGGGGAGACGTGCTGTGAACCAACCACAGCAGAGTTGTCTTCCCCTATTCTTGGGACTTCATACCAACCGAAGCTAGGCTTCCTCCAAACTACAGTAACGTGAGAAAGCATGTGTCCATGGTGTACATGTAAAGGCCGCTTGCAGTGTACTGAAAGACATGGCCCAGAGGCCACTCCTCCCCTTTCCATCTCCAGGGCATTAAGGGTTGTCCTTAAAGGTCCCTGAGTCAAAGGTGAGGGTAACAAGACAGGCATGAAACCACGCTTAGGCCCAGGACATGGATAATTAACTTCATAACTAAGAAAAGAACAGTATCTTGGATTGACGATATTAGATTGGTTAGAATCTGGGCACTAGAAGGGAATTATTGGTTCTGGTCCAATTTTAGCATTCATAGATACAAATCTGAGGCCCATGGAACAGACTTGCCTGAGGCCACAGGATAAGTGCCCACAGGGCAGCACCCAGGTCTGTAGGGCTCGCTGAACTCTACCTCTGATTCTGGCTTTAGTTACTGTTCCCCTGCTAGTTGTGCTTCTTGAATCCTGGACACAGAAGGCGATTCCTGGGAGAAAATTTGGGATCATTCTCTGCTTGCCATGCGTCTTGAAGACCACGTGATGGCTAAGCTCTTTTATAGGCACTACCATGATTACCATCTTAAACAAGAGCCAGGCAGCGATTTCTGGAGAAAACCAATCAGCAACAGAGAGAAGTCCTAGTGCCAGGTGGAGCACCTGACTGAATTTGTCAGCCGTCTGGATTGTTGTTGTTGTTGTTATGTGCCGTCGAGTCGCCTGCGACTCATAGCAACCCTATGTACAACAGCCCTAAACTTCGCTCTGTCCTGTGCCAATCGCACTGTCTCTGACACTCCCATCCCAATTATCCCAGTCACTGAATCAATCCACCTCATAGAGGGCCTTCCTCTCCTGCGCTGTCCCTCCACTCTCCCAAGCATGATGTCCCCTCTCCAAGGACCGGTCTCTCCTCACAACATGTCCAAAGTATGTTAGACGGAGCCTCAGAATCCTTGCCTCCAAAGAGCCACCCGGTTTAACCCTTTCCAGGACAAATCTGTTTGTTTTCCTAGCAGTCCATGGTATTCTCAATACTCTTCTCCAGCACCACAGCTCAAAGGCATCAATTCTCCTTCTATCCTCCCTGGTCATTGTCCAACTCTCTGATGCATAACAAGTGATTGCGAAGACCATGGCCTGTATCAGACGCACCTTAGTCTCCATCCAGAGAGACACCATTGCTCTTCAGTAATTTGGAGAGGTCCCTAACAGCAGACTTTCCCATGGAATGCGCCTTTTAATTTCCTGGCTGCTGGTGTCAAGACTGTTGACTATGGAGCCAAGCAATCTAAAGCTGTGTACAATCTCAATAAAAATGAACAAATTAATAAAGACTGATCAGGTGAATCAGAGTAAGTACTGAGTCTAGCTTTATTACGTTTTCCTGAACCAAAATCTAGGGAATTTCCCAATGAACTACCTTTTAAAAACGACCTGAAGATGTCCACTTGTCTAGATTGAAGTGGAGTGGTCAAGCCATCTGTGCCAAGGGCTGTGAGGCCCTGGACATCGCCCCATCACTCCTCCTGTGTCTTCATCTGTAAGGGGTAGGGCTGGGTAAGATGTGTCTAAGGAGCTTCAGGCTCTGCTACTCCATGATCCCGTATGTGATTCTTTCTCCTCATTCCTTCACCATTAGTCTCCAAGACAACCCGGGACTCTGTTCAGAACAAGCCTCCTGCACACGTGTGGCTGCCGTTGCTGCCGCTGTTAATTGCCTTCGAGTTGAGCACGACTCATAGCGACCCTATGAACAAAAGGCCTGAAGCCCCTCTACAACTATCGACATTTATCCAAGTTCATAGAGCTTCTGGAGGTCTGTTGTCTAGGAACTGGATGCCACTCCTGCTTCCAAACCTGTCATAGTATGTTATTATTGTTATGTGCCACTGAGTCGTCTGCGATGTACACTGACCCTATAGCGGCTGCTGCTACTAGACCATATTCGAGAGAAAGAGATAAGCACTTCAAGCATGAGGCTGGCTTTGCAACAGTGACAACAGATTTACAATGCACTTTCCACATCTTCATCCAAATCTCTGTAAGACAGGAGCGCACAGGGGAAAGGGGTACACTTCCCTTGGTTCTCTTTAGAACCAACAGCCCCCAAAAGAAACAGACTCTGGCACTGCAATCCCAGAGGTGCACTGTTCGAATCCACCAGATGCTCTGCTGGAGAAGGAGGGACAATCTCCTCATGTACCAGTCAGATCCAATTTGACAGTACACACACACACAAATGATAAAATAAGGGAAAAAAAGAAGAAACAGGTTCTGGCCTCATTTCACTAAACTTGAAGAGCAGTGGGTTCCCAAACTTTCAGATCACTTCTGTCTACCAGTAATTTCTTTTCTTTTCTTTTCTTCTTCTTGTTGTGTACCGTCGAATCGGATCCAACTGGCACCAGAGGAGATTGCTACTCCTTCTCCAGTGGAGTCCTGGTGGACTCGAACCACGCAGGCCTGCAGCACAGCTTCTTGCCACTAGAGCTCCCTCCCAGTAATTTCTGTGTAGAACCTTAAACACAAGGATGCTTACTTATGTATTATTACTGTGATAATATATAAAATAGGGTGATATACATGTTAATCTAGGAAGTAAAAAGGATATGAAAGTGACAAACGTAAGAGAACTAGTTCAAGCACCATCCTGTACCTCCTCTCCCATGAAGGCTCTCAGCAGTCTGTCAACAACATGGAGGCCACGCCCACTGCCTTCACTGTACCCGTTCTGAAGACACAGCTCCCACACAATCACACTTCATTTACATTCATTACATTTGAGGTTTAATTTTCTTTTTTAGCTGGGCAGATATGGAGATCCAGAAAATGTGCAGCTTCTGACAGCAGGTGGGTAAAGAAACCATTCAGTACACAGGAGAACAAGAGCCCAGTGTAAAGCTAAACCTTTTGACAAAATGAGAAGACTCCAGAAATGACTACGCCAATAATGGCCTTTCTCGCATGTACACCCTGCTGTGCAGCTGGAACTCAAGAAGAAACTGAAGTGAATTCAGTTCAAACAAAGAAAACTCGGGTCAAGAGCTCAGTGATCCCATTTCTAGGAATCCAGGTTGCAGAAACAATCAGAGATGAGGGCAAGATTCCTGGGCAAAGATGTTCCTTTTGGGAAAAAAAAACACAAAAACAAAACAGCAGCCTGATGGAGCCATTTCTTTAAAGTGTGGACTAGT